AAAAAAAAAAAAAAAAAAAAAAAAAGAAAACAAGAAAAGAAATACAAGTTGATATAATTATACGAAGTACAAGCTAACAAAATTGTCTCATATTCTTAATAGGAGAGAGTGTAGACGATTGCGGTGGCGGATATAGCGAAAGTATAGCAGAAATGTGCGACGAATTACAAAATGGTTCTTTACCACTGCTTATACCGACGCCAAATGGTCGAGATGATAGCGGTACTAACAGAGATTGTTTTCTTCTAAATCCAACAGCCGATTCGCTGTTACATATGAACATGTTTCGATTTCTTGGAATTTTAATGGGTATAGCGATAAGAACTGGTAGCCCATTAAGTTTAAATTTGGCAGAACCTGTATGGAAACAGCTCGCAGGTACATCATTAACATCTGCGGATCTGACCGAAGTTGATAGAGATTATGTCCCCGGATTATTATGTATTCGAGACATGGATCCTGACGAAAAGGTATTTCAAACTCTTGAAATGCCATTTTCCACACCGTCAGCTGTAGGACATGACATACCCTTGTCCAGCAGGTATTTATACTGTTTGCTTTAGCTATATAAAGTCTATCCTCTCCCCTCACCCCAATTCTGTTAGGTGCCTTTATTTATTCTTTTTTATAATTTTCGTTTCCTTCCTATGTGTAAGGACATTGACATTAACATAATTAGTATTGCTTGTTCTTTTCAGATATCGTAAAATTACACCAGAAAATAAACATGAATATGTCCAGTTAGCATTGAATTATAGATTACACGAGTTTGATACTCAGATAGCTGCTGTTCGAGAAGGCATGTCGAAAGTTATACCTGTACCCTTCCTTGCATTATTCAGTGGGCCTGAGCTAGAAACAATGGTTTGTGGCAGTCCAGATATACCACTTACTTTATTGAAATCAGTTGCAACTTACAGAGGTATAAATGCTCTTAATACATTTAATGATATAATATAAATTTCTCAATTCTGTTGGTATATTTACTTTCTTAGGTATCGAAGTGACTGCACCTCTGATACAATGGTTCTGGGAGGTAATGGAAGAATTTTCTAATCAAGAGAGATCCTTATTTCTACGATTCGTTTGGGGTAGGACTCGTTTACCACGCACTATCGCCGACTTTCGAGGAAGAGATTTTGTCTTACAAGTAATATTGTTTTCCTCCTTTTCTTACATAATTGTATATTACTTATTTTGACTTTTTCTTGTCTACTTAGGTAATGGACAAATATAACCCACCGGATCATTTTCTTCCTGAGAGTTATACATGCTTTTTCCTTTTAAAAATGCCAAGATATTCGTGCAAACCAGTATTACGACAAAAATTAAAATATGCAATACATTTTTGTAAAAGTATTGACACAGACGAATATGCTAGAGTACAAGCTGCAACTAATTCAGACACCGAAGAAATAGATAGTCTCGCTAGTGAAGAGTATATATCGCTTTAATGAAGTTAATTTTACAATTTTTTTCCTTGCAATTAACTGAAACCTCTTCAATTCCTAATCAACTCTCTCCTAATCAACGAAATCGGTTGCCAATTTATAAAATAATAATTTGCTTATACCAAAGGAAAAATAACAAATATCATTTTTCTTATTGAATTTAGTTTCATTCAATACAAGAAATTTTTTCTTGTAAATCAGTTTATAATTTCATTATATTATATTATAAAATTATATAATAATTATTGTCAAAGTTATTGTAGAGTATCATTAAATTTAACATAGCTACTATGAACAGTGATATTTAATATATAATTCTTCATATATATACATGTATGTTATGCCTGCACATGTGCACACGCAATACTTTTCATGTATCTATTTATTTTATATTTATATAGAATGTTTGTATGATTTAGAAAATTAGTGTATACTTAACACACATGCGCGCGCGTATATGTACACTTCCATCAAAATGGCACAGTTACATATTTTCTTTTGTCTTTTACTATTA